GGGGAGTGGGAGCGGGGTCGGCGGGCGGCTCCGGGGGCGTCTCCGGGGGCGTCTGAGTGTGTCCGTCGCCGCCCGTGGTCAGGGAGCTCCGCTGGGCCGGACTCGCAGTGGCGGGAAGGTCCCCACGTCCAGGCCCCCGGAGGGAGGGGGTGGGGGGACTGGTAGCGTCCGAACCCCCGCCCCCCTCCTCGCCCCCGAGGCGCTGTCGCTGTTTCCCCGAAGTGACGACCGCACCTGGGCCGGAAGCGGGGAGGGGCCGCCGCGTGGGAGCCGGACGCCGGAGCCCTTTGCGGTCCGGACGGCGTTGGGGGGCGGGACCCCCTGCGCCCGGCCCTGCGGAGGAGGAAGGGGCTCGGGGCGCGGCTCTAGCTCGGGGCGGGACGCTCCTCCCCGGTCGGGGGCCCGGGACGCAGACCCGCCCCCACCGTGGGAACGCGCTGCCCCCGCCCGGCCGCTCTCCGCGGACCGCTGGGAAACGCCCCCCGACGCCGGCTCCCGGCCGCGCTTTCAGGGATGTTTTCCTCGGGCTGGAAACGCCCCGCCCCGCTCCGTTTCGGGTGCTTTCGCGGCGCGCAGCCCTGGAGGCATCCCCAGCGCTGAGGCCGCGCTGTTCACCGCCCCGCGGGGTCGTGTCCGGGGCAGAGTCCTTGCCAGGCCCCGTCCTGCCGCCAACCCCTGCGTGGCCCGGGTCCCCCCAGGCCTCCCGCGGGAGCAGAAGCGGGCCCCTTGGCCACCTCCCCGCGTGGGAAGTCCGCAGTCCCTGCCTCTGAGCCGGGCCCGTGTCTTCCGATGGCCCCCGGGGAGCTGTGTCGGTGGAAGCTCAGACCGCGCCGCTTCTGCACGGGGAGAGCCCCCCGGCTCCTGGAGCCCCCCCGCCTCCCAGACCCGAGCTCCAGGCCCAGCCTCGCGTTCCCTCGAGCGCTTAGACCCGCGGCCAGCCCGGCTTCCAGAACGCAGTGAAATTGACTCCCTGTGTTCTGCGCCCCCGTTCCCCTCCTATCCTGTTTTCCACCCCGGATTGTTTGTTCTTCACCACACTGTTCAGCTCAGTGTAATGGAAGTTACGCTTTAGTCAAATGCATACCAGTTCAGAATGCCAACTTGGAATATATACCCTTTCTTTGGCTGGGTGCGGCGCCTGACACCTGTAATCCCAGCACTTCGGGCGGCCGAGGTGGATGAGTCACGAGGTCAGCAGTTCGAGACCAGCCTGACCAACATGATGAAACCATGTTTCTACTAAAAATACAAAAATCAGCTAGGCGTGGTGGTGTGCACTGGTAATCCCAGCTACTTGGGAGGCTGAGGCAGGAGAATCCCTTGAACCTAGGAGGCGGAGGTTTCAGTGAGCTGAGATTGTGCCACTGCACTCTATCCTGGTGACAGATCAAGACTCTGTCTCAAAAAAAAGAATATATACCCTTTCCCAAATCCAGTATCCCAGGAGAGATTACAAGAATTGATCCTTCTCTTTTCCCGTCAAGCTAAACCTCAGAGAAGTTGAACTGAATTCAAGTCCAAAAATACTGGGAAGAGAAAAACAAAACAAAAAAATTCCAAGAAACAAGCAGGGAAAAAACCCCGAATTTCATCATGAAAAAGTGTCCTGTTGCTCTGTCTCTGATCAACAGCTCCCCGCTGGATTTTCACCCGGGCTCTGGGGCCGGCGCTTGCTGGGGTGTCTGATTCACTGGCACAGTCCACAGGGTCGGGGGGCTCCCTGCCCTGGACGCAGTCAGGCTTTCTCCGCAGCAGCCTGCCTGGGCAGACAGGGTTTTGCTGGTTCTCCCGCGGTAAGTCTGAGAGGAAACTTGAGTGCCTAGTCACAGTCTGGTACTTTGCCTTAACAAAAAACAAAAAGCCAAAAAGTTCTGGGTTTTTATTTGTTTAGAAAGAAATCTTTCTGAGCTGCTTCTGCTCTCACAGCCTGGGGCCGGGTGCAGCCCGTCAGTAGCTGCTGGGGCTGGACCTTCTGCTCCCAGCCGGGGGACCACTGAGCCCCCCTAGAGGTAACAGAACACACCCAAGGTCTCCCTTCTTTAAAAAGGGCGCAGAGTTACTGGGCGAATATGAATTTCATATTGTTACCAGTGGAGGGTATCCAGGTTCTTGGCATCTTGAACAAAGAATTGGACAAAACACACAAAGTAAGGAAGAAATGAAGAGATTTATTGAAAATGAAAGTGCACTCCACAGTGTGGGAGCAGCCAGCGTATGGGGCTCACAGTCCCTGCTACAGAATTTTGGGGAGTTTAGATAGCCCCTACAGGATTCCGCTGGTGACATGGTGTATGCCTACATAAATGGAGAGGATGAAGTCAAGTTACAAAGTCATGTCCTGGACGTGTGCCTGTGAGACGATGTTTCCATCATAGCTGAGGTGTGAATCAGCCCCGTGTCCCTGCCTCCAGCCTTGAATCAGCCCCGTGTCCCCTGCCTCCAGCCTTGAATCAGCCCCGTGTCCCCTGCCTCCAGCCTTGAATCAGCCCCGTGTCCCCTGCCTCCAGCCTTGTTTTCCTGCCGCGGTGTCACCAGGCCAGAGCCACACAACGTAGAAAATGGACTCCACGTGCCTCCAAGGTGAGCACCCTGGCTCTCAGGTGCGGAGACCTAGGGGCGTCCCAGGGAGAGTGGAGAGACGGAGAGAATGTGCTGGCTGGACCAGGTGTCGAAATAGCACAGACTGTTCCGTCAGAGGCGTGTGAACCAGAGCAGCTCCATCTTGAACAGGAGCCGGGTAAAGAGGCTGAAAGCCACTGGGTGAAGGTGGAGGTCAGCACAAGACACAGGTCATAAAGACCTTGCTGATGAAACAGCCTGCAGTAAAGACGCTGGCAAATCCCCCCAAAACCAGGATGGACACGAGAGTGACCGCTCCTCACCGCTGCACCCCCGCCAGCACCACGACGGCTTACAAATGCCGTGGCCACGTCAGGAAGTTACCCCGCGTGGTCTAAAAAGGGGAGGCGTGAATAATCCACCCCGTGTTTAGCGTATCACCAAGGAACGACCATCAAAAAGGGCGACCAGTGGCCCTGGGCTGCTCTGCCTGTGGAGTGGCCTTCTTCATTCCTTTTCCTTCCTGATAAACGTGATTTCACTTTACAGACTCGCCCTGAACTCCTTCTTGCCTGAGATCCAAGAACCCTCTCTGGGTGTCGGGATCGGGACCCCTTTCCTGTAACATCTTTCTGGCGACCACAGAAGAAAAACCCCAGACCCAAAAGCTAACTTTGGGAAGGTGGTGCGGTCCAGCGACATATTTCTGGCAACCACAGGAGGGACTAGAGGGAGGAAACCCCCGACCTAAAGGCTAACTTTGGGTAAGTGGGGGTCCGGTGACATCTTTCTAGTGAGCCCTGAAGGGACACATGCACACATGCACACACACACGCACAGACATGCACACAGGAAGAGAGATGGAGCAAGACAGAAAGAGTGGCAGTGAGGGAGAGAGGGGCCAGAAGTCTGACTGGTAAGAAGTTCTTGCTGGCATGCCAGGCTTCTGGGTCCTCTTTTGTGGGTAACACCCCCCATGGGAACAGAGGAAGGAGAACTGTCCAGACCCCAGGCACAATTAGTGCCTGAAGAATATCTTAGTTTATAGTTTCCTTCATATAATCTTTCATATATAATCATATATTAGTGTATAGAATTAGTGCCTGAAGTGTAACTTACTGCTTCCATACATCTAGCTTATATAATCATACTTAATACTTATTTCTAGCATACTTAGTTCTGTATAATCACATAGGTATTGTAAACGGTACTGACACATTCAGTGCTGATTTATAGGATCCTTCCATAGAACCACATAGTAGTTTGTAGCAGGAGGAATGCCTAGAGCAGTCAGAACAGAAGCAGCACATGGGAAAACAGCCAGACCAGGACGAGAACCAGAGACCCCGGCGGTGGCGTCCCTGCCTGAAAGGGCATACGCCGTATGGCAGGCTTGGAGCAGGAGCCTCTCCTCCTGATAAAGGAGCTGTAGCACCTTGCATCCAGTTCCTGTGAAAAGTCGGCCTCAGGCCTGAGATCCTGAAAGTAACCGAGGGAGAAGAACCCCTCTGGTGTGACCAGTCACGGTGGCTGTGCACCCTGTCAGTCTTTTCTCGCTTCTGTGCTGGCTCAAATCATCCTCCCATAAATATCTTAGAGAAGAGCACACGTCTGTCAGCTCCCACTGCAGTGGCTTACAGTTTCCTTCTATTAGAAACCCTTTGAAGTCTCCAGCCCCCAGGTAAGAAGTGTTGTGCGGGACACCTGCTGCATACAGCCCACCTCCTTGCCTAGGTGACCTAACGGGGGTGGACCCCTTTTCTGTACACGACCCTCTACTACTGCGCACGGCATGGCCCCCTACTGTGCACGGCCCACCTCTCTGCCCAGGTGACATAATGGGGTGGCCCCTTGCTTGTGACTCACGTGATTTACATATGCCTCATCACTAAGCCTAGAGATGATGACCTCACTCAGGACCCTGCCCCCTGCTTGTACCTAATAATTACAGATGCTCTGGGGCAT